ATTTCTGTGCCTTCAAGTTTATAGATCTTCATTAAAATGCTAATACAATTCAGTTAGAAATCCAATTTCTGACTTTTATTGCATCTTGCTGTTGGGGGAGTGTGTGTGGTTGTTGCTGCTAAAGAGTAACATTTGTAAAAGAACCAATGCAGATAGATTTTCTTTCACTTTTTCTCAACCTGAAGTGCTGAGACAAGCAAAACATGTTTCCATTACTTAACTAAGCAAACAATGGCATATAAATCATAGAGGCAGCTGGACCAAGGTGTCATTTTCATAAAGAGCCAGATTTCTCATGAAGGACAGTTTAATGGGCTGCTGCCAATGAAATGTCTGCAGAGCTGGTAATTGCAGGAGGGGCACAAAAAGTGGCGCTAGAAAGGTGTCGAGTGGGAGCTGAGAAATAGCCCCACAGCCAAGACAACTGGAAAAAAGGAGACTCAAAAAAGGTGTGTGCTTTAATAATTTGCTTCTTGAGGCTGATTGTTTCAAATAAAAATCTAAGTTTTTATTTTTAGCTTGTTCACATTGGCTGCAAGATCAGAGAAGTGTTTTTAGCTGTAATTTTATTTTGATCATGTTTATGCTGTGGCTTTGTTTCTCCTTTGATCATGCTTAAACATGTTTCAGACATGTTTGTTTGATGTATGCTGTTTTTTAAAGCACTCTTCCACATTGTCTGCTTGTGGTGGTTTTTTGTTGTTTTTTTTTTTTAAAGCAATGAATCGTTGAAAAATATTTGCTGCCAAATTATTTCTTAAATTAATTTTCCCAAAACATACTTTCTGGATTTTTAGCCAATAGGAGACTGCTTTTAAACAAGAAAGTGTTGAACTGTTTCAACAGCATTTCTGAGCACTTCACGGATTGGAAACAGTTTTAGGGTCACAGAATACTCGATAATTCATACACAGAAATTTGAAGTCATCCTCTCTATGAGTAATAGCTGCAGTGCACTGGCTTTTACAATTGTGACCAGCAGGTATGGATCAAAGTCCCACTTTCCATTGTAAAAATTGCAGGAAGTTCATTCCAGTGCTTCTTTTGTGGCTGTGTTGAATGTATGAAATAGGTCAACCCTGACTGAATTATTTTAAACTTCCCATGGGGACCCCTTGATACCGAACCTCTTTAATTTTGCAGGGTAAGACAGGGCAGTCACAATACTTGAACATACACATTCATGGATGACATATTTTCTTCTGCTGCATGGGTGAACACTTAGGAGAGTCAAGGAAAAGTCCCTCATCTGTGGACAACATCTCCCTTGCTCAAAGAGGAGCAATACAAAATGCTGCGTAGTCCATGGAGAGCACTGTGTTGCGTGACTGTCAGCCATCTGGCTGATTGATTCATCATGACCCTAAACAGTGAGTTGTAAGCCTGGTCTGATGCCCTGGAGTGAAATGCAAGTGAGCATCAAGCCTCAGGCAAGTCAAACAGCTCCACCACTAATGAAACAATATAGAACACACTACAGATCACTAGTTCACACCACCAACTTCTTAGCTTTATAACCTATGAAATTATCAACCACATTTCTCTCCCTCGCTCCACACATATGATCACGATGTTGCTTTTATGATCATTGTATTTTTTCAGGACAGAAATGGATCTATTCCTTTATGCAACAGAACACGTGTAGCCTGTTCTTCATTTATTTGCTTCATTGCATAGACACATATCTGTTGTATGGAAGAAGGGAAAAAACCCAAACTTGACTAGGTAACAAAATCAAGAGCCTTGTAACATGAATAACCACCCTTGTACTGACTAAAGCATATCGATTTAACCAGATGGCGGAAAAGACTAAGGTTTGCTCAGTAAGAAATGTCAGTGTTATTCAGCAAAACTGTTCCATGGTGTACTATGGATGTCATCTAATATGTGGCTGTGTGACCACTTTATTTTCAGGGATGTAGTTAGGATTTTTAATCACTAACTGTGAATCCATCCCGGTTGAGCACTGGTAAGAAATGTATACAAAGCAGATTCAGACATGCTCTGGCTATGGTGTTAGTTATATTGGCCTTCCTCACACTCCTCTCCTCTGCTACCACTCTGACAGAATTATTTGAAATACATGTTTTCAGTTTCTTAAACTATTTTTCTATCGTTCTTGTACCAGTCCTGCTTTAATACTAGACTCTTACTGTTTCTAAGTTCACTTGCAAAATTATGAAAGGGAAAGAAAACAATAATAACATGCTAACCGAGGGCAAGTTTATATAACCTGTACTATATCAGCGGTGTTATTGACTCAAATGGGACTCCCCACAGTATCTTCATAGGCCAATGTAAAGTTAGATTTTTGATGCCTGATAATGCAGAGATTTATTTTAGAATTTGATATCTCGTGATTTACAAAACCCATTGCACTAGAAACAAATCATTCAACCATTTGGAAATGTATTTAGGTTTTGGTTGAATGATTTTTTTACTGTTGTCGTTAAGACCTTAAGATTGTAGAGTGTATTCTGACAAGAGGTTCTCCAGATCCGTAGCTCAGAAGACTCTCTACTAATGGGTATCCTCTTTCTCTGATGTATCCTTCCACAGGCTGCAGTGCAAAAACTTTCAAGCTGTAGCCTTGTGTTTCTTGTACTACAAGTTGCATTCAAAGCTCTGGTAGATTGAATATAAAATAACAGTATTTACAGTGGTGCAGTATAGTGTAGATATTATTTATTTTGAGCCTCGTGTCAATATAACTTGAAGGCTGTTAAATGTATAAGTAGCTTAATACTGGGGTTTGGTGTGGAGAACTTAAGCTGCTTACAGACTTCTTACGTTTTCAGATGTCTAAAAAGATTTATTTTAATAAACAATAGGTAATAGACACAGGTCCACAGAGATCTATTCTGTCGTCTGTATTGTTCAACATGTTCATAAATAACCTGAAAAGAGGTTGAACAGCAGGATGAGAAAATTTTTCACACAATACTGAAAGTTATTCAACATAGTGAGACAAAGGAAGACTGTGAAGAATTACAAAAGGATCTTATGCAACAGGGTAGCTAAGCAATCAAATGACAAATTAAATTATTCTTGATGAATGATGTAGTGATAAACCATGGGGAAAACCATGAGGAAAGCATGCCTATCTTCACATATACAATGATGGGCTGTGGACTGAGCATTACCAATAAAGAGTGAGGTTCTGAGGTTATGGCACGTAAAGTTCCATGAAAATTACAGATTACTGCTTAGGAACTGTCAAATCCATATGAAATGTTAGGAATTGATAGAAAAAGAACAGAGAATCCAACAAAGAGTATTGCCATATCCCTTATATAAGAGCACAATTCATCCACATCTTGAAGACTCTGGGTATTTCCAATAGAAGAATTAATAGGCATCAAATGAAGTTAGTAAGATCAATGTTCAAAACAAAATCAGAAGTAGGTTTTAGTTCATTGGATTGTGTATAAGAGGAATAGATTCCACAAGGACACTAGAAATGCTGGAAATTTGCATGGGGTCAAGGAGAGTCTAGATAAAAATCTGTTGAGAGTTATTAAGTACACAGAAGGCAACCAAGTTCAGGGAATCAGCTACACTGAAAATAGTTGGAGGAATGAAGATTATTCTGGAACACTATTATTTGTACTTACCATATTTTTGCTTTGTCCCAAATGACTACTTCTGGACAATGTTTGAATATATTGTTCTAGGTTAACCTTGGTCTAAGCCACTACAGTCATTCTTGTGTACTGTGTAGATGTATACACACACACACAGAGTATGCAAGGATATATGTACACACACAAAATTATGCAGTGTGTACTTATATAATAGAAACATACATGAATATCTACAAATATATCAAATGTGTTGCTTACAAACACTGCCACCCTTAATACAGCACTGCGTTTCACAGGACAGCTAGTGCAAACTGACAAAACAAAGTACAGTTCACTATTTCTATGACTATATAGCAATAAACATACACTGAAAAGATGTTAATGCATAACACTAAAATAGCTTATAATTTCACATAGGAACAGGAGTCTGAGTAGTTAAATATAGTTCACAGTTAATTATCCCAGCAGGGTGTAAAATGGTTATAAAACAGATTGGTAAATCTGTTGGATATGCCTTCTTTTTCCAAATATAGTGAAAGATACCAGCTGAAGTATCTCTGTAAAATACAGTGATGAGCCACATTCACCACTGGTATGAATTTACTGTTACAATTTCTATAAAATTCTCTCTCAAAACTTCTTTCCACCATTTTTTTTACATGATGAAACAGTATGTCTGAATTTCATTTATGTTCATTTGGTGATGTATCTTCTTTATCACCAAATAATGTTGTCATTCTATTTGTCAAGAAATAAACGTTTTCTGCAGGAAAAAAAGAGTATTTCAACAACTTCAGTAGAAAATCGCAAGTGCATTTCTCTTCTGGAAACTAGACAAAGATTTTGGGGTTTGGGTTATTAGAGTGTGGAAGTTGACAATATCCATTAAATCTGTATTTTATTACTATTATTTTTTTTAATAGTAACACATTAATACTTTCCTAGATGTAAAATGCTTTTTTTATATTTTTCATTATTGCTAAAGTTAAGAATATTACATTTGTCTCAATAATTCTCTCATTTTCTTGCAACACATACAGAAAGATTATTAACCAAAATCAAAACATACAAAGAAACAAGAAAAACGTCAGTAATAAATACATGGAACTAGGAAGCCATGCTGTAATATTATGCAACCTTTTGTAAAGAGATTACATGAATGCTTAATTGCTCCAATTTCCAATAATAAAGTTCTGTTCATTTCATATCCACAGCAAACACCTATCTTATTAAAGATAAGAGGAATGTAAACACCTGTCACATGTTAATGGTTGATAATGTACCTAACATCGATATATTTGTAGTTTGAAACGAAGATTGATTCTTGGGAAGCAAAATCACAATTCATTTTTATAAGAAAGGCAAGTGATTTCATTTCATGGAGTAGTAACATGCACAATGGCATTGTCTTCTCAGATCCTAGATTTATTAGTGCTCACCTGATACCGGAGAGCGACAATCCAGAAGATGACAAAATCTATTTCTTCTTCCGTGAAAATGCAATTGATGGAGAGCACACTGGAAAAGCCACTCACGCCAGAATAGGGCAGATCTGCAAGGTAAAATGGTGACTTGTTTGTGTGAGCTTGAATACATGTGCAGGACGCTTTGTGAGTGTTTTTAGAAGCTGCATTTTCTTGCCTGTAAACGATTCAGTCTAACACTGGCATAATACTAAAGCAGAGATCATTCCAAGTGAAAATACTTAGGGGATAACACACCCAAAGGAATACTATTCAGTTGTTCTCCATTTGGGGAAGCTTCACAAACTATGACATTTTGTTTAAAAAGTCATAAGCATCTTCAGCGGCTTAGACTGCAAAAGAGAGAATCTTCTACAGGAAATGTGATATTTCCAGGTAGGTCAAAAACATTTGTAGTATTTACATTTTAAAGTAATTTTAATACCTTTCCATTCACACATTAGTGAAAATCTTTAAAACAGAGGCAAAGGAAGATTTAACAAAATAGTTGTTTAAGCTTAACTGTAGAAATGGGCAACCATTCGGAAAACCCGTAATGACCGCAGGTTGTATCATTCATCCACACTGATAAACATCCAAACATTTTTCTGACAGACTTTTATAAAGATTTCTGCAAATAAAATTGTAATAATAAATGTTGTAGCTTTGCCAACTGTGATGTTTACAGTAAAATTTCATGTTAATCCGTAAGCACAATTTCAGTTTATCTCCTCAAATCCAGAGGTAGCTGCTTGAAAACCAATTACCCCCTTAGTATGGAGTCCCTGGTGTACTTTATTCATAAGTTTTGTAGCTATACAATTGATCCCACTGTTTGGGTATTTTTGTTTACTTTGTTCACTTGCAACTTGCAATTCCACCAAACCCCATAAGCTTTACCAGGACGTGGTAGCCTGGGAGGTCTGGAGCAAAGTGTTCTACTTGTCTGTCTTTCTCCAGTGTTAAATATATATATTAAAATAGATAAAGAGGCTTGGGGCTTTTTTGTTTTGTACATGATGTGCTACTGTGAAATATGTCACAATACTATGTAAGAAAAAAGCAATTCAGAATCAGTGTCTTTAACAACATAATATTTTGTATGCAGAAGGTGAATTCTTTGTTTTCTGTAAGGAGAATCTTGTGGTTATTTACCGTATTCTCTTTGCACTCTGTTAATACTTCAAAGACTGTTACTAGATATTAATGCAAAACACTTCTGTTGTTAGAATGACTTTGGTGGACACAGGAGCCTTGTCAACAAATGGACAACTTTCCTCAAAGCACGTCTGATTTGTTCTGTGCCTGGACCCAATGGCATTGACACACACTTTGATGAACTACGTAAGTGGCAGAAATAGCTTTGAATACATAAATGTTTTCAGGTTATTATCCATATGAATTTAACTTTGTTTTCTTTTACATCTCTTGTTCTTTTTGCAGAGGATGTGTTTCTAATGAACTCGAAAGACCCTAAAAATCCAATAGTCTATGGAGTGTTTACAACTTCCAGGTATAGAATGTATCATTTTACTTGCATGGAAACTTGGGTGGCTGCTTGTTTTAAAGAGGTCTCTGTTAAAAATGTTTTTAAGAAACACAGAATTTCTTTAACCTTTGAACTGAGAAGTCAATGGTGGTAAGAAGTAATGAATTAGGTTTCTTTTCTTATGATCAATGTACATCATCACTCTGAAGCAAGTAATCACAAAGACTATCAGGTTCTCAGGCTGTTTTTGCCGTTGAATTGGCTTTTTATAGCGGGGGTCAGAATTTGTAGCCTTTTCCACACAGACCTGGAAAAATAACACAAGCATAAATATGCTTGTTTGAAGGGAGAGTGGTAGAGAAAATCTGCAGTGTGAGAAATTGGATACTCAAGGAGGTATTAGCAAAAAATATTGCTGAAATCAGGAAGGTTTAACAATTTTTCAACAGTTCTGTTATTGTATCACACATAACTGTGGCTTGAATGTTTTGGTTTCATTGTGCTTTCACTGAGACCAAAGTTGTTCCTGTAGCTTCTGCCTCAGGAAGGTTTGAGGTGGTGGTTTCATTGACACATTTATCTGTGAAGGACAAAAGTTTTAGTTTCTAAACAGAAAGAATGTTTCTAGTGATAACCAGGCATAGAAGAGGGAGATTTACAAGTACGTACTGTCTTCTGTAAGAAATCTCAAGGTAAGAAAAAACATTGCATGTGTGCTGCCCAAGTGACGGAAGAGACTGTTAAAAAAAATAGAAAAATGCAAAGTGTAGGAAAGAATTGAATAGTCCTCTAGGGACAGCCCTGCTGAAGTTTACTCAAATTGGGGCTTTGGCCTTCTGGGGACAATATGTTTTAAACAGTGGAATAGCAGCCATCTGCTTAGGAAAAAGTCTGAGAGATCGTATCAGTGTATCACAGGAGGTGAGCTAGGATTGCTCTGAGAGCATGTCAGAGTTTTGACACTCAGCACATGCAATAAATTAGAAAGCAACAAACTGCTATTCCCATAGCTCTTCCACTCGATTAAACTGACTGATAACTTAAAGAAGGTGATTTGATTTCTTCTCCCTCATTTTCAGTAATATCTTCAAGGGGTCAGCAGTGTGTATGTACAGCATGACTGATGTGAGGAGGGTATTTCTTGGTCCCTATGCCCACCGAGATGGTCCAAACTACCAGTGGGTTCCCTACCAGGGGAGAGTGCCATATCCACGGCCGGGAACTGTAAGTACCATAAGAAGTATAGTAGTCTAACAAGGGAAAACTGAAGAAAGTATTTTCAAATGTTACATGGTCCTTGAGCTGAGATCCAGGAAAAAAATTGAAAAAGATAATGAAATAGATAGCGTGTCCGAAGGGAAGGCTAACAATTCATCTTGTTTCAAAATGTACTGATTTTGTTGTAAAGAATGAAGCTCCAATTGCAACTTTATTTGATTTTTAATTTTGGCATTTGTATTAACAACTTCACCAGAAGTTTGAGCAATACCTAAAAAACTTTGCTTAAAATCAAATGTTTAATAAGTTACTCTGCTTTTTCTTTTCTGTGGAATTTGCCTTTGTTCCAAATATTGGCTGAACCATTCTTAGTGACAATGAACAGAAAACAGAGCATCTGCCTGCCTGTTAAGAAAATTTAAATTTTTCTTGACATTGAATCTAATACAGTAGGACAGATACTTCAGTGATGGATCATATAGTGACTGTAATAATTCATAACTTCCACTGTCATTTTTAAAAATCTATGCTTCTATATGTTTCTCTGTTTCTAGTATATGACTGACTAAAATGTCAATGAATATAAGACAGCCATATTTACTGATGTCATCACACAGAAATATTTAACTGCCTCTAGAGTTCTCACTGTTTAAGAAGATGGGGCATTTTTGAAAAAAATATTAATTGCATACACTGAGATAGCTCTTTAGCTAGTATAAATCAGCTCGGTCCATTTAAATTCTGAAATATGATTGCTGAAGATTAAATAAATATGTATACATATGTATACATGTATATGTATGCATATAAATGTTAATATATCTGTCTATAATATTCCTTTTAAAGTCTCCTTAAATAGAAGGCAAAACCAAACCAGGTAGCTTTGATCCTTTCCTTTAAATCATCATTTTCTATTTTTGTCTGGTCTGTTTTGAAATTGTTCTTTCAAACCTGATCTTTCAACTGATCTTCAACAGTTAGGCAACATATATGCTCAGCCTAATGAAAATGACTTCCTAAGTCAAAGGAAACAGTGGCCTCGTGACAGTCAGATTCCTCAGCACTCTGCACTCCTTCACTGTGACTGCCAAAGGGATTCCTAATTTTTTCCCCAGTTAAAACACAAGCTCTGCACAATAGGAGAGATTTCATTTCTCATTTGATGCTGGCTTTTTTTTTTAATTACTGTAGGTAATGCTGATACGTCAGGGGTGTTTTTTTTCAAGCTGATTGTTTTACATTCCTGTGGAAAATGTGAATGAGTTGGTATGTTTGGTATTTCTTATATAGCTAACGTCATCTTCTTTTCATTTTGACAGACTTAACAAGTTAGTGTTCATTATTCTGTTTATTTATATTCCTCTTTTATTCTCGTATTGATTAACTTTCTAAACAAACCCAAATAATAGGTATTATGTAAAACTATAGACAAAGAAGAATGTTACATGTTTCTATCACAGAAATAGATTGAGATAAAGAGCTGACTGCTGCGCAGTGGGTCTGTTAGTAGTGATGAATTTCATTCCTGAGCAGAGATCGGCCACAGTCCTTTTGAGATTCTGAATGCACTCAAATATTTTCCTGAGACTGGCTGCAGAGCTCTCCCTGCCTCAGAGCCTGTGGGTTATTCCAAGGCTTGTCTGAGGGTCTTGAACTTAGATCCACATGGGAGAAGAATAACTTGATCAAATTCCCGAGAACAAACAGAAAAGCAGGGTCTTCAATCCAGCCCCTAAATGATTAAGTGACCTAAGCCACCAGATCTTTTGCCAAAGTAGGGTACTACAGTTAAGTTACATAGGCCTTCTTTCTGGCTGCTCTCTCAGAATGGATTGTACTCTTACAATTTCACTATAACATACTAAGATTGACAAAGAAATCTTGTGAAAGTGCAAAGATGTTTAGACTTAGTTGTAAACATTTTTCTTGCCTAAGGGCATATGTGATCCCAAATAACACAATTCTACATAGCCTTGCAGTTGCATCATGTAGTGCAAGAGGCCGTGCCACTGTAAATTATATAAAAGAGTGGCTGAGGCCATCAGTCTCTCCTAAGCCACTGCCAGTGGCTCTAATCCTGGTGTCTAGAATTTAGAATAAGCAGTGTTTTTTTCACTTACAGTGGCTAAAATAATTGTATTAGTAAGATAAAACTGAACTTTAAAATCAGAGACATTTCTGGCTGAAAAGAAGCCTTTTGTTTGTGAAGTAATAAAATTGGTTGTTTTCAGTGGCTTTGAAGACCTGTTGAGAATAAAGAAGGAAGGTTTTTGAAGTTCCTTTAGATGTCAGACTTGTGGCTTCCTTTTCCAAGAAACTGGAAAGTGAAGGGAGAAACAAAACCTGAGCTTATTCCAGGAGTTCAGTTCCAGATCTCACTGCAGTTAAACAGTGCTGAATTATCTGAGGAATTTTATAGCTGAGGTGCCAGTAAACTTCTTGAGCATCTGGTGACTTGCCCAGTATGAGTAAACAAAAAGGAAAGTTAATGGTTCTTTTGAAAAGTCAGAAAACTTTGTAAACAATTCTACATCAGCTTCACATTTAGAAAAGAATTTGCCAGGATTTTTCCTTTCAGATCCATAGAACTCTTTTTATTTTTTAACCTTTTAACAATATTTGGAAGAGGAGGGAGGATAGAATTTTTGTATATACCTTATCTTGAATGAGGTACCTCATCCTGAATTCATATCTTCCTTTCTCTGAATTCAGCTACAGAGCTCAAGTTTTCTCTCCCCTTCATGGTAACAAGAGTCTATCTGCAGTTATGACCAAAGCACCCTTTGTTCCTACCAAAATGTAGCTATTGATTTATTCTGTTGGATTTCCTAATAAGCCGGTTAGGGTACAACCCAGTTACCTCCTCCTGACTCATCAAAACTCCTGACATAGCATATTAGGACCAGCAGTTGGAAGTGGATGTTAAATGTAAGAATTCTTTTGACTCTACTTGAATCCAAGATGAAACTCATTTCTTCAAACTTTTTCAAGACATTTATATTTATGTCTATCTTTGGTACTTGAAAACTTTCTAAACTTTTCCTTGCTATCAGTGGGATTGATTAGGTATATAAACGTGAGTTCTGATGAAGAGCCTTTCCAATTAGCTTGACCTAGATCCCCACTAATAGGAAAAGCAGTCCTGTCATTAGCATCAAGGATAATGTCTTTGTTGCATATCCTGGTTTTGTGACCATAACATAAGAAAATATGACAGGACTTTCCTCCTCAGGACACCTCAGGTTTTATATGGGTTGAGATTCTTTTTCAAACAATTTGGACTATGCGTGGGCTAAATCTCACCTACTGATGGTGCCCATTTGACTCTGTTGACAAGGAAGAGAGTTATATTTCATCTCAGTCAGTTTCCTAAGGTGGGATGGGATGAATGTGAGCCACAGCCCAGTAATGCGTTTTAGACCTTAGATGTAAAAACACAGTGTTACTGTCATTTGTTCTCAGAAAAGCAGGGGATTCAAGAGTAATCTGGCTTTCAGAAGTGGGAGTCTCATTTAAACACACAGAATTATGATACTAATTCTAGTTTTATGATTTTTCTGCATAAGATGTATCTTGGTCAACATTGCTGCAAGTAAAATCTTGTTAGAAAATGAGCCAGAAAGTAAATATTCAAGCAGTTGAAACACAGCTGAAATTCATTTGCTTGAAATTGAAATGAATATTCATTTACTGTTGCTTTTCAGTCTTTGCCCAGCTGCAATTACCAATACTTAGTTCTTTGTAGTGATTTTTATACTTAAAGCACTTTACATATATTGTCTAATTAATCATTATCTAATTAATCTGAGTAATTAGTATTAAAATCTAGTTAGACTATTAATCAAGATGTAAAGCAAACGGAAGAATTTTAAACACAATCTTTAAATAAGATAATGGTTTGGCCAATGATTATAAAAAGCCTATCTGATTTTATCTTTTTAATATTTCTGTTTGAGAGAGCAGGAACATATAATAAAAAAAAAGCTGAAAAATGTTGACACAATGAAATAGGTAACTAACCTGCTTTCTGCTTAGTCTGCTTCACATGCATTAATCAAATGTCCTCACTCCCTCCCTCCCTTCCTCCCTTCCATATTATGTAATGGAACAGAATACTGGAATTTGCTTACTAACAAATATGCCAAAATGGGACAATTTACACTTTATATGTCGATGCTGGAAGCATCTCTTTGCTGAGTAGAACAACTACTCCTTTTGACAATATTGATTTTTAAATTTCATTTCTGATGAATTATTAATAATTTGGATCAAGGTGATAGCAAAGACAATTGATTTCTTCTGCTGAGCATCCTGCAAGGCCTGGATTCTTGGTTAATAAGATGTTGTTGTCTCGCTTTCTAATTTAATTGGAATTTATTCTATATATGGATATAATTATCTTGGGCATTTTAACACTAGCTGTTTATATTTCAGGTTCAAAACATAATTACTGTCACCTGGGTTTCAAAGTTTTATATGTCTTAAATAGGTATCTGAAAAGATTAGTAGTCGGGGACACCCAGGTTCTTTGCCAAATATCCTGGGACTGGTGCTTTAATGTTTTTGTGGCTCATTTTCTTCATCCATTCACCATTATTGACACCTTACTGATGTTTAAAGTAACTTCTAATTGTTGATAAAATACTGATCAATTCTACAGAAGAAACAGGGGCAGATAGTGGTGATTCTCAAGTCTCCCCATGGGGACATGTGGTAGGTGAAAGTGGAGGAATGTATTTGTGGCTACCAAAGCCATGGTCTTACCTCTCCCGTCCTTCTCAACCTCTACGTTTTACTCACATTGGGAGAATGTGAGCGGGGAACCCTGTGCTTTTCACAAATTAGAGGTAAAACTGCCTGGCCCACTTATGACAGTATAAGGGAGTAGAAGGTCACTTTATGGTGTTAATTCATGGGGACCAACTTAATCCCAAGGGGACATTAATTTTTCTGTTACTGAGCAGTACACAACAACAGTGAGGACTTATTTCAGTTTTTCAGCGAGGGTCATCTTAACTAACTGTTCATACTGTGAGAGTATGAGCAGCAACACTCACACGAGGCTTTCTTTACAGTGGAGAGAAAAGATTTGTTTAGGACATGACTCATTTGATTTGATTTAGTGTAACAGGATCTATGTTATCGGGACTACATGGATGACAGAAACTTGTTGAGACAAGCAGGAGTTTGAAAAGTCAGCAGAACAGTGAATTGTCCCAGCATTTAAGGATTTAGAAAGGAATTAACTTCCAGCTAACACCTGAAGACAATACTTTGAAACTGAGATGGTGGCATAATTAATTAATTTTCTGGTTTACACAACAAAATTGTTTTGTCTCAAATGATTTTAGATAAATCATGATTTCTTCATTCTGCCAATTAAAGACAGTAGATGACTGAAAATCCATTTGCACTGCATAGTAGTAAAAAAAAGGATGTATGAGGATCATTTACATTGTTAACCATATTGATTTAAATCCAAAATGAAAGAAAAAAGACATTTAGTGACAGAATTAACTTTTTCTGCCTGTCACAAAACACTTAGACCTCCTGCCATATTTAATTATAGACTGCAGGATGATTATTATTAAATGGATTTCCAATATATTTCTACTGATTGATAATAGAATGTAAAGCATTTTCTTTTTTACTTCCAGTGTCCCAGTAAAACATTTGGAGGCTTTGATTCCACCAAGGACCTCCCTGATGAAGTTATAACATTTGCAAGAAGTCATCCAGCCATGTACAACCCAGTATTCCCCATCAACAACCGCCCAATCATGATCAAAACAGATGTGGATTACCAGTTCACACAGATAGTAGTAGATCGAGTGGACGCAGAAGATGGCCAATACGATGTGATGTTCATTGGCACAGGTAAGAAGTCTTGAACCTACACTGTATGCTTCATCAGGCATTATGGAGACATAGATCAGATTAAAAAATTATACTGTAAAAGACACAGAACTGTATACGTGTGACAGTTTGGGGCAAGACTTAAAACTCTGCATGTAGGGAGGTCTTGTTACATACATTCGTGGCTACAGGTTCAGGCTTTGGCCTGCATAGCTTAATTCTTCAGGAGTTTTGCCAACTGGATTCTGATCAAACCACTCTCTTTTCAACTATTGTTATTAGGGAATTTTATTAGAAATATCTTGTCTTATTAATTTTAATTTAGTATTAAAATGCAGGTTTTGAGGTAACTGTTTTGAAGTGCAGCATAAGAAGCATTAACATGAATGAGGCCAGTATCCAGGTATGAGAAAGGTCTTCTGTGCCTTTCAAGTATTTCAGGTATTTCCTTCAGATGCTGAACTCTTTAGCCCGAATAGTGCATCATTTTATTTAAGATTAAGATATCTGGCACATGCAAAGTGTTTTAAGAAGAGTTGATATTCAAATAGAAATATAATATCCTTTCCAAAGCACTTGCGGAATCCTATAGCTTGGGCATTTTATGAAAGTGGAACTGTGCACTCAGAAACGACACTTTTTTTCCCAAAAGGTAATGAGAAGTAACAGTGGCCAGAAATTAGCTGATATGCATTTCTTTAAGTTCAGTGGCTTCAGAACCATGCTCATGCAGCTGGTGGATCTGCTTCTTCACCTTTGAAGATATTCCATTAGTTGGCTGGTGTTTCAGTTATGTTGAATAAAAGTATTTTAAACTTCTATTGAACATAATTGCTAGTAATTAGACATTGGCATCATGAAGTCAAAACAAACCAAACCAAAACACCACAGTTTCTTTTCAGCTTTGGACAAAAAAAAAAAAAAAATCTGCCTGTCTTGTAACAGCCCAAATTTTGACTTGCTTTAAGTACAGTTCTGGTGCTCAAGACCTGGGGTCAGATTTCCAAAGCAATAAATCTCAAGGTCCCTCTCATGTTGATGCCTGAAATACATTATGAGGAAACTGAGACCTGATGAAGGTTTGTGTACCAAGCACAGTGCATGCATAGCAATTCAGAACATTTACTGCAGGAAATGCAGCTCTGTAGAAAGTGTTCCAGCTCTTTAAATCTGTGAACTGAGTTATTAGATTCCAGTGCTCCATTATGTTCTTGCATAAAACCTTGAAAAGTAGTTTCGTATGATTTTACACAACACATATTTTCCATCACACATTAGAGGCTTCTGTGCCATATACAATTGGCAGTGTTTTGTGCCTTTCAACAAGTCTTCTATGACCTGATTCAGCCCAGAAAAAAAATAATGGTAATACTCCCCTTGGCTGCAATGTGAGGGAACAAGCCCTTCAGCATCCAGAGTATGATGCTGAACAAACATAAGGAGCTGATTTATGTCTACACCTTGAGCACAAGAGGTGGCATTTATCTCACCGAAGTTTGGCATTCAGTCTAAAAAATATGCCTTGGCTTCTGCAAGGGAGAGAGATAAGTACTTCCAGAGATTCATTGTACTTTGTTTGAAACCTCTATTAGAGTAAGATGAAGAGTTATGCAGAAGTTCCTGTCTGTTTTCAGACAGTACAGGAAAACTTGCTTAAACCTGAGCTATAGCTTTTAGATAGTTATCATTACGTATAGTGGTTCTTATCTAAATTAGTCAGGCAAGGCCTCCATCTGAAAGAGCTCCACTGATATCTAGCTGTTACCTTTGAGTTGGCAATTTAGTTATTTAATTCCCTAAACCACGATTATTCAGGTGTGTGGTAAGTGCTCTGGATCCCATCCAACATTGCTGATATTTGTGCCCAGTAATGCTAAGAAAATTATTGAAAGGTTATTACTTGTACTTGCCAGAAGAGTTTTCATCACCAAAAACACAGCTTTGTGACTGCAGAGTGTATTATTTCTTGAAATACTACTTTTGTCTATAGAAACTTCTCTTTTTCCAGCAGGAGGTTATACATTCATGGGACAAGAACAGGCGTTAAAACGCCTGTGCTCGGAGCTGAGGCACAAAAGGTGCTCTTCTGAGCTCACTATCCTTATTGTGGTTTTCAGAAAGGTTCAAGGGCATCTCCCATGCAGAGGTAAAGAAAAAGAGGCAGAACTGAGGCCCTGCCTGCCTTCTACCGGAAAGCTGCACTGAGCCAGCTGGTTGAAGCCAAAGGAACCAAAACCAGATACACAATCAGCACGTATTCCAGCTTCCCCAAGCAGACAATGAGGCGGGGAGCAGATTAGGGACTCTAGTCACAGTCCAGTTTTCCACTTGATGATCTGAACCTATGGCAAAGCCAGAATTAAGGTCTCTAGGGCATGACTGGATTTTTCTGTGCAGGTCTGTCCCATCAGATTAGATACATTTCTCTGTGTTTTCCCATTGCTGTTGCAGCAATCTACATTATTCCCACATGCTGCTGAACTTCAATAAGTTGAAGAAATACTTTTTTTTTCCTGTTCATTGAATAACTGATGATACTTGAACACAGCATAATTAATAGCCATCCAGTGTGGTCACATTTTCCTTTCCTGTGGGTAAGATCTTTAGCTGAGCAGTTTCTTTCCCACTGTGATTGTACCAGTGTGTTTCACAATGGAAATAATATCATATCGGCATGCTTGAAATTATATCAGAAAAAAACAGGATTTAAGATATGCACTTAATGCATATCCTGAGTGTCTGATGTTTGGGATCACTTGGCACAGTCAAGGTACATCTGTCAGTAAAGCAAATTAATAACAGTAATCTTATCTTACTCAGCAGAGCCTATTGATCCTAAAGGAGAAGCCTGATTCCATTTGTGTGAAATTGTTTGAAATACTACTCTGTAAAACTTGATCTAGAACTCAGATAAAGCCCCACTTTGGTACCTGTGGCCTGACCAGAGTCGCCGTAGTGATTAACACAGTGTATCTTTGACCTCAGAGGGTTTCTCGAGCATCAGGCAACTGTAATTGTTGCAGGATCCACTTAAAAGTCAGAAGATTTTTGAAACACCATTATGTGGGTAACTCGTGTCTGCTCAGTGCCCACTCGGGCTCCTCAGTTTCCCTTTTGCTGTTATATCAAAAATCACCCTTTATTTCTGGAACATGGCATTTAATGGATTGTGACTGAGGACAGCCATAGGCCAACACAGAGTACTGCTACACTGTTGTATTTATTAGATCAGAGTTCTCTTTTTCACCCATACAATATGTTTTCCTCAAAACCACAGTCATCAAATTATCAGGATAATTAAGGAAATGAACTCATCCATTAAATTACAAATATAACTGATGTTGAATTATCTGTTGTTCTGAATTACTCTGTTGTAGAAATGTGGATTTTTTTTCATCATGTTTTAAAGTTTTATTGCATTTGTTCTCAGTATTTCTTGAATTAAATACAGCAGTAACCATAATAAAAGCCATTTCCAAAACAACTTACCTAGTATATTTTACCAGCTTAGTTTGTACATGTAGCTGACTAAATAAAAAGAAAGCTGTGCTTTGCTTTGTTGTTGTTATCTTAAGAAAGAAATGTTTTCTAGTTTTTAAAAAAGGATCTATGAATTTGCGGCTAATGAAAGAAAACAATGATGTAGATATTTTGTGGAAGAAAAAATCACTTATTTCAAAACTTCCAAAAATATGTGCTTAGAAACCAGCATCTACTTAAAGGGGAGCAGATGGAAGAATGGAAATCTCAGTTCTACATGATATTCTGGGATTCCTAGAATATTTTAATCCAAATTCATGTAAAGAAGTAGAAATACCAGGATTTTCTCATGAAATAATAGTTTTTATGTCACTTTATAAAAACATTTTCAACCTGTGTAATGTATTTGTTTCAATTTCATATACATTTTCAGTAGAGAAGTGGTGAGTTGTCATCTTTTTAATTCAAGGTTTCAACTAACACACAAATACATGTATGCACACAGATTTTGTTTCAATTTTGTGCAGTTGTTGGTTAATTTCTGCTTTGAGAATGTTGACCTTTGCAGTTCTGTTACTTTGAGAATTTTATCCATTTAAAGTGTCTTATGTTGTCCTAAACTATTACTAATATACAGAGTCCAACATGGAAAGTCCTCAGAGATGTAGTTGTTATTCCAATATGTTACATGGCACTACACTTGGCTGCTAAAAAGTCACATCCAGAGTGGTTCCATTTCAGAGATTCTGCAACAATGTGTACCAACCCAGAAACAATTGTTTTGTTGTTGTTCCCTGTAAATTCTGCTAATGGAAACAAACAAATAATTCACAGATGCAGAAGCTGTAAAACAGAGATGGTCTTAAGTCTCAACCATATTGACAAAACCCGAGGCTCTAGCTGTAGTATTTCCAGCATTGGCATTGTTCATGGTAAAATCCATTGCGAAACCCCAAGAATGTAAATGGATATAGTATTAAAATGCTGGCACACACCTATTTCTAAACAGAAGATACAACTTGTCTTGCTTTTTACCCTGCAGTGAAGACTAGTATCTAACACACGGAGAAATATAGATGCCTTAAGGGGCTTATACATCTTAGGTACTTTGTTTGACATAGGGAAGATTGCATGTACTTAAGAGATCTAACAGCTTCTTCTGTCTAACAACATTTGTCCAGATGGTGTTATATCCATACTGAGCTTTCTGACAGCATCTTCATGTGCATTTTAAGAATGACAAACATCATATTCAAAATGGACAATAAAACATGCCTGGGTAAATTTAGTGCATTTCCTTCCGCAATTAAATGACTGAAACATCTGTCATTTTATACTGTCACTTAAATAGCATTTCAGTCCTTTTCATTCTTTAATAGCTGTAGTAGCATTTATCCGCTTTGTTGCATTTGGATAATTGAATGACTTCAGTGGAATGTCCTGAAATTCAGTGGGTTTTTAGCTTATTTTAAATAGCAGTTGGTATTTTGAACAAGAAGTGCTCAGTGATACGTAGCTTCACAATGCTTGTGTGTGAAATAATTATGTACTACAAGAAACTCTGGCTGCTCTGAAACTGAAGTATGCTTGTTAAGCACCTGAAACCCTTTTTTTTTTTTCCCCCCCAAGATATTGGAACAGTTCTTAAAGTGGTTTCAATTCCTAAGGAGACTTGGCATGAATTAGAGGAAGTCTTGCTTGAAGAAATGGCAGTCTTTCGGGTAAGTGCAGCTAAATTTCAAGTGTCAGGTTGTAGATTTCTCTGTGGACAGCTGCAAACTGAACTTTTTGCAGTCTAGCCAAGGAGTAGCCTGGCATACCCCTCTAATTAGCTCGTCATTTAGAGACCCAGACACTAGTCAAAATAAACCTTGAAACATTCAGTGCTAGCTGGAGGTTAGTGATAAAAGCAATGGCATTCAGGGCTCTTGTTTTGTGTTTCAAAAAGTAAATTTATATTTGAATCTTTGTGCCATTACATGCTGTAGTTAAATATGTATCTGGGCAAGTCTGGGAATAATGCTTGTCTGTTTTCTCCCACAGAGATAAGCAATACATGAATTTTATAAATTCATAAACACATAACAGTGTTCAGATTATCAGCATAATGTACTTCAGGAAAAGCAGTGGTCTGCACAGTTTTCTTATGCCTAATAATCTGAGAAACAAAGAAAATTATATTTTCAAAGGTGACTTTAGGATCTCATGGCTTGATACAAGACACTGTAAACACCGCCTAATCTTTAGTACTTTCTTGTGACAGTCAATCTCTTCCAGTTTTCCAGTCTGAGATGCCTAAAAAATAAGGTATCGTGTAGGCACTCCTGCACATTGAGGCTGAGCAAACTTTTCAAACACTTTCCAGACAGAACCCAGGGATGTCTTGTGTTTTGCACACAGCAATGAACCATTTACATTTCCCATGCTATTCTTTTTGTCAGTGCCATTTTATGGCACCATTTCACAGGCCCCAGGCTTTCAGAGGGTTGATACCAAGTCGGGAGCGTGAGGTTACTCTGACAGCATGAAGATGATGCTCGCATGCTTGGAGAGCCCCACATCGTGTAGTCTCACTCCAGATGTGCTGCCAAGGACTGTGCTCTGAACCTGCCACAGGGCCCCAGCCACCATATCCTCATCATACTCAGTTGCTATCCCTTTATCTTTGGTTTCCAAAGAGACAAAACATATATAAACAGAGCTTGTATATATTTTTATTACAATATGCAATGTTATTTTTATTTTGTCTTATGGACAATCTTGCCTTTACTGGTACCAATCTTGCACAGAAACTGCTGTTTTGAGTGCAAGATACCACTGAAAAAATATATCTTTATTTCTTCAGTCCCTGTTTTTTTTGAGGGCAGAAATGTAGGATTTTTTCTTTCTTTCTTTCTTTTTTCTTTTTAACAGAAAAATAAAGTAGAAAATATGAGGAGAAAATGAGACAAGTAATTTGTGACTCTCAGCTTTTTTTTCTTTTTTATACATACAAAAGTCATTACATTAATGCAGGGTAATTTGGCAATTGTTGATAATGTATGAGTCTCTTCCCTAAATCAAGAAGAAGTGCCAAGCTAAAGCAGATCAGAGAAATAGAAAAGTGAAAGAAAGAAAATAAATGGAGTTAAAGTTTTATTTCAGAAAAGCTTTACAGTAGTAGAATGGTTAATGGCAAATTCCAATCTGGTATTTTATGTTACATGTGTATTTATTCATTACACAAAAGGGTTTTGGTGTTCTGATTTACTTGAAAGCTCATTTATCTCCTTTAGCATGTATTTAAACTTTAAAGAGGACATTAATGTACTTCAGTGGAATAGGCAGAATTTGTATGTGTAAGATATGGAACTTTCAATAGGGAATTTGCAACAGATTTTACATATACTTAACCAAAGTAAGTTTTCGTTGGTTACTGAAGAGACTATGTGCATGATAAGCAGTGTATTTTGATGCTTAAACTGCAGTGTGCAGACATAATGCTTTTCATTTTTCATTCCGTGAAAGTGAAAGTCTTCCATATATGTTAGATCAGTAACAAATGTCTCTTTTAATCCCATTTGTGCAATATTTCTCCGAACAGCTGAGCAAACAAACTAATTAGTTCCATTTTCATTCAAATGTTACACTTAATTGATGCTCTCTAATATAAGGTCTATTAATCCATTTGTAAAGGCAAGTCCTCATGCTTAAGATCTACTGACCCATATCAGATTCTCTCAGGGTAAGCAAGTTGAAAGCTACACAGGGGTAAAAGCACAGTAAGGACTTTATTAATATAAATAACGAAAATTGTGATACGTGGGATCAGTAGTAGATTTTTAACTGGATTTAAATTCATACAGAATTGACTTGCACATTTTGTAACCAAATTATGCCACTTCTACTCTCAAGATTAAAATCCATTGAAGCAGCTGGGCCTAGAAGATCTAACAGTCATTTAATCAGATCTAAACAGACTTACTCTGTTAAATATTTTCTCCAGTCTCTCATGTAAGAAAGTAGATATTGTTTTGACATCTGCTTGCTACAGATAAGTATAATTATGAGTAGGTTTAGCTAGGAGAATAATAACTCTCCTAGTGACCGATCTGGTTGATTAAATAACAGGTATTCCAGGGTGCAAAAAAACTCTTGCCAGTTTTAGTTCTGCATTCTGCAAATCTGAGTAACTTTGTACATGAATACTGTGGTGCAGTCAACAAGATTGTGCCTGGGATTAATGTTTGTTCTTATTTTTCAAAATAAATTTTTGAAGTCATGGGTTTTTCACCTTGATGGAGCTCATTTTATATTTTAACTCTCTTTTTCACCCCCTAGGAACCCACTGTTATTTCAGCAATGAAGATTTCCACAAAACAGGTACCATGTGCACAAACTTTAAATCACTTTTAAATATTTATTGGTCTCTGTCTTGTAGAGACAGTAACTTGGCAGTCAGTAGAGACATATTAATTACAGCAGCAGCAACCCATCCCGTTACATAAACAGTAGTTTCTCAGGAAAATGTGACATGCAAAGGAGAAAGGAAAAGCCTAGTTTGTGTTACTTACTGGTAAGGTGGAAACTAAGCACAAACTAACCAGCTGTCTGGAGGCTCTCAAGGGAAAAAAAAATTCACATTATGGAATGTTCTTATGGCAGAGAAACTCTTCAAAAGGAGAGGCCAAACTTGGTCCCTTGCTTTAATGGGACCAGTCCCAGCCACTCTAAGAATGTCTTCAAGGCCAGGCTGGACGAGGCTTTGAGCAACCTGGTCTAGTGGAAGGTGTCCCTGCCCAGGGCAGGGAGGTTGGAACTGGATGGTCTTTAAGGTCACTTCCAACCCAAACCATTCTGGATTCTATTATTCTATAAATGGTCTAGTACAGAATTCAGATAGTGGAAGCAAAGACTGGAAATGAGACATCCTCCTGTCTTTTTGTCCAATCCTTGTTCCATTCCTGGATGTGCACCATTCAGATATAATAAAGAGGGTAGATCTGATTTTGTCCAAATTTTCCATGGCCTTATGGTTCAGTAACATGATTAGGATATGTTCCAGACTCCAGAATTTATATTTCCTACTTTCTGTTGAGTGCAGTAATAACTACCTTCTTAAAGTAAAGATACGTACTACAGCCTTCACTGTAGACCAGACCAGAACTAAAACAAACTGGATTTATTGATGGATGGAGGTAAAGTTTTGTTTGGTTTACAAGTAAAGGTGATTCCTGGATTTCTGAGCAAATATGGCTAACTATTATTAGGCCTCTTTTGGAAGCTGCTCATGAAGTATGTAGTTGTTCAAAGAACTTTGGGTTTCAGTCTGAGAGTTCAGGGCCTATCTTCCAGTTTGTCCTGGAATTAGGTAGATGGACCCCAACCACTGGCATTTCCTGTCTCATAACATAATAAAACTTCTTTTTTTCTTTTATCATATGTGTGTTGATTTGGAGCCTGATTTGGTAAACACTAGCAACTTAATTACACTCAGTAATTTTTCCATTAATGTCATTGTCAGTAAAGAGGAGATTTGGTATTAATTGCAGGACTGAGTGCACTAAAAATTGTTTGTGTTAAAAATAAGATTTAGTTAATTCATCTACCTCTCTCTATACATTATTAAACAGAAGTTGAATTCATTCTATAACAGACAGACCTCAATATTATGTTTGAAATGTTGTATATTTAACTCAGAATTCACTGTGTTTAGGAAAGTTGTCTGAAAACATTCATGCATTTGACAGAAAACATTTTCTTCGAGACCACTTTTCTAACATAGTTTACCACCTAAAACAACAAAAATGGTAGACTGAAAAAAATGTACTATTGAATACTGGGATATTTAAAAACAAACCTGTCAAGTTGTATATAAGTTCACATCATGCCAAAATGCTCTGCTTTGAATTATTTTTATAAGTACATTCACTTAAAGCAGCCATCGGATTTGATAACAGACTGTGCATTTTCATAAAACCTCTTCTTCAAAGCATCTTTAGTTATTCTGGAGAGTTTAGAATTTTCCCTAAGTCTTTTGAAAACAAATTTATACTGATAAAATTGCTTAAAGCTAATAAAGAGCATAAACCACAAGTTATTCAGCCAGAATTCAGCTCAGGAAAATCAACCAGCCTCATGCTAAAAATGACAGAATCATGATACAGTATGACAAGGTTTTGGCACTGTGTCTCTGTATCAAATATATATAGGGCAACATGTTCCCATTTTATATTTATGATTTTAAAATAATGTAATTTTGTAACTCAATCACTTTACTCACTGTGTTCTGATAAGCAGGGTGTTTTTCATACAAACAGCACATTATTTTGAAGCATTAAATTTTTAATCTCTCCTTTTTTAAATTGCAAATGGAAAATTCTCAGTTATGTCTTTGTCCAACTCCTAGGGAAAGGCTGCATTTTGGGCAGCGCCGTGGGGCAAACAGAAACCATTGGATTGCTTAAAACAATAGTCTCCTCAGCTTTTCTGGAGTTCTGATACTTCTGCAAGAATCCTTAGAGGACAACTTACCCTCCCAGCCCCTCTGGTTTGATCTGATAATCAGCTGATTTATTAAATTACCATCCTCTTGGGAAAGACTCTTTGCCCAAAAGACAGTTTGACTGTCTATGGTAAAGTAAGGTCAGGCAACTGATGCAAATCATTCTATTACTACTTTCTGAATTTCATACTGCCTGGCTTTATATATAATTAGTGTCCAGAATAATGATCACCAGCTGGAGTCAGAAACCATGAGCAGAAGAGCAGCAAACAGGGCAGCAGCCTTCAGGCTCTGCAGCACCTGAAACATATGCTCTGGTTCACTGACTGAACTTTATGAACTTATCCATGAGGAATAAGTAACCCTATTTTGGCCTCACTTCCCCCCCCCCGCCTCCATTATGTGTTTCTGATTATTCTTTAATTCTAAAGATATTTATTACAAATCAGGGAGAAGTTTTTGACAAAATCAAGTTGGTTACAGAGGTGCATGGAAAACCATCACACCATTCTTCTTTGTTTTCCCACGTGCATCCTCTGGGTTGATTTTTATATTAGTTGCACCACACATTGCTACATGCTTGTATAGATATTAATGCCCCAATTACATAACACTCAGATCAATACCATCTGGACATTTAAGATACTTAACTGAAGCTCTAATTTGACCTATGCTGCCTCCATAATCAGTAAAGACAAAAGGCATCCCTGGAGAAATGTTTAGGTCACCTAAGATTTGACTTGCTGCTCTTTTTACTGCAGAATATACCCCTAAGCTGAGTGTTTCATTAGGTGACTTAAGATAGAAAGGACCAGCTTGTCATGTCTGCTGCCTGTCATCTCCTTCTAAAGGATACAGCACTAACTAGGGACTGGCATGTACAGTTATGGATCTGTGTGGTCAGACTTTTGCCCAGAGAATGTGGGTTTACAACCCACCTATCACACTGTAATAGAAACAGCTGCACAGAAAAGACTTAGTTTTCAATTTACCAGTTAAATATCCTTTGGGTGCTTTCCTTGTCATATTTTCCTTGAGAAAATACTGCTGTTTATATAAATGCATGGGATGTTTCTGTTACAATTAATATGCCTGTATAAACTGCCAAGCTGTTGTCTCTGGGAGAAGTTAATGTAAGACCTTTTATGAGTGTTTTTGGTTTTGCTGTGTTGTCATATTCAGTGCTCATCATTTGCAGTTGGAAGGTGATCTTAGCCACCTTCCATCCCCAAACTCCTTGGAAATGGTACCTCTGAGACATCACAGTGCAGGAGATGAAGAATTTTGATAACTTTTTTGAAATCCTATTTTTCACACCATCCTTACGTTTTCTAAGAAAGAAAAATGAATACAAATCTCTCTTTTCTTGGTGGGACTGCTTGGAGTGAGACCTTAGAGAGAGATGTGTTAATTGCTTCGCCATGGGTGCTGTGTGACAATGTTTAAGCTTTTGATAGCAAACTGTCAGTGTTTCCAAAACAGAAGGATTATGCCATTTAATTTTTGTTTATCTACCTACTTTGTTTACCCCTGGTTTTGCATCTCAGAGGGAACTGGATTTACTTACTACACTCATACTTGTTTTCGTTGTGAATTAGTGCTAAGGTGAAATATCTCTGTTTGGACTTTCATGTGGGATCACTAGTTCAGTTTCCTTATGTCCCTCTGGGGATCAACTTCCCTAATGGACCACGTGAATTTGGTATCAGAGAGGAAATTGAAAGAGACAAGATATTCCGTTGTGATGCCATACAAAGCTGTAGTGGTTTGGGGTTTTTTTTGCATCTTTTTTTCTTTACTTCATGGCTTCTCTCTGTATCTGAGCTACATCTTCCACTCATCACTGGTTCTTATCCAAAATAAAGTAAGCCATCTCCCATCATTAAAGATGTTTCAATTAGAGTATGTCACTTACAGAAAATACTATGAGGGAACAGAATTATCAAATATGCAAGGAAGTGCATACATCGCAGCAATTCCAAGCTGAAGTATCTTAGCATCAATCTGAAATAATATTTTACTTTAGGTTTCCCCACACACATACACAAATCAAGGTCATATATAGGAAATTTGTTGAAATGTGAAGAATATGTTGAAGTTGTTTTTCTTGAAATTTAAAAACACATTCTCCTCTGTGTTCTGTCACCGATTTTAGCGCTTTCCTAGTGCAGGGATCTGAATAGAAAACAAAAAATGGAAGAGTACTTTAATTTTTCTTACTGTTTAGAGAAGCCATCGAGAGCATCATACAAAAATCAGATTTTTTAATTCTTTTTTTGTTATCTTGAGACCAATACTCTTCTCATTCCTTTAGTGTACATCGGAATTGTCATCCTTTATTGTATGGTCCCAATTTATTACTATATAATTTTAAAATGCTTTCCTATACAAAAAAATGGTAATTTGCAATTTAAATTGTTTGTTTGTTTGTTTAACTTTTATAACAGCAACAACTCTACATTGGCTCAGCCACTGGAGTTTCACAGCTTCCTTTGCACCGCTGTGATGTGTATGGAAAAGCATGCGCTGAGTGTTGCCTTGCAAGAGACCCTTACTGTGCCTGGGATGGTTCATCATGCTCACGTTACTTCCCCACTGCTAAGAGGTAGGGACAGTTTTCAGATGTCTGCATGGCTTGCTATTTGTTTTAACTGATGGTCTCAATATGACCAGAGGGCTTTGGAGATTTTTCGTGGGATGGTTAACTGGAGCCCGTTCTCTTCCAAAGAAAACATAGTTGTGGGAGTTATAAGCAATATGAAGTCTTGGTTGATTTCAAGTGAACACTGCTACTTCTTGGATTGGCTTAAAAAGCTGTTGTAGAAAAAAAAAACATTCAGAAAAGTGTTGTCTCTGAAATGGATTCATAACTTTATATTCAGTAATAAATGGGGAAAAAAAAAAACCCACAACCAAACCCAAACTTTAGCATGAGGAGGGAGCTTGATATTAAAATAAAATAACTACTTGCCGAAGTAAGTTATCCTGCACTTCCATAAATTCTAATACAAAGGAAATAGTTATAAATGGTTTGGATATGAATGGAAAGTTATCGTTTAGTGATAAATAACATTATTGTTCTTATTCAACCGTATGTGTTGATGTGTGTCTAATTGCTACCAGATCAGAACAACCCTTATTTTACATTCACTCTGCACTAATGCTAAAGGCTTTGAAATGCAAATGTTAAGGGAAAACAGACTCTGCAAGTGAACAATATAATTTTTATAAAAATTCTACTAGTCGTAGTTGCCTTATCTGAAGATTTAAAATAATATTTTCTTTGCTTTCATTTATCTCTGAAGTTCTTTCTCTTAAAGTGTATAAGCTAGTTACTGAACAATTCAGCTACTGAGGTAGAAATTAGGAATAACTGCATAGATAATCACTTGCAAATAAGAACAGACATTGGTGTAGTGTTGAGAGAGTCCCATGATAAATTGGCAAAGATGATAAAAAGTGCTGACATTAAATTGACTATGTCAAACATCTTGCACTTATGAAGAAACAAGGAATCAAGGGTTTATGCACATAAGGGTTTATATACATAAAATTAATGGTAGCAAATACTTAGTTGAGAATGTCAGGACTCCAAATTCCAGATTTGGATTGGTTGTTGTAAGAGATGAAATGTGGTAAAGGGTGAGAATTAGCATTTGTGTCACAGACTTTACAGATGGAGAGGATTAAAATTTCAAGGTTTGCATTACAATGTGTCCTAAACAAATACTGAGGACCAAAGAAAAAGCTGCTTACGGAACATCAGGTTCTATTTTTCCACCAGGAAATAGTTAATCTGCAACAAGCTCTTTGTGAAATTCTTTAGAAAATAATTAAAAAGAAGAAGCTGAACCCATCCCAAAAGAAGAGCTGGCCAAATTTTCTCAGCTGCGTGGGCTAAATTCAGATTTGTGGTGGGAGCATGGCAGTTTCTCTGTAGGAGAAGGAGGAAAGAGAGGAGAGGAAACTGAGGTTTTCGAGGGGAGTGTAAGGGATAGATTTGATCTGAAAGTTTTCAGGGTCGGAAGTCGTTGTGGTTGAGTATTGCCTCTTAAGTCTAAGGAGACAGTAAGGTCTTGCCTCTCTGCTACGTCCCTGCTAGTCTCTGAACATCATTTTTCAGCATTGACAAGGATACATTCCTACTCCCAGCCCATCTCAAGACCCGTTGAGCACATCATTCTGTCATTCATAACGCTTACACTGATGGGAGAAGTAGAGCTTTGTCTTTTCCTTACCTGTCTCTCCAACCTATTAAACACCAGACTGAGCTCACTGGTGCCATCAGGGGTAACAGCACCGGGACCTCTTCTTACAGGGATTAAGGGGCAGGGTTACTGGGGTTTAACTGGGTTGCACAGCTACAGGAAAACCATGGGGTGCAGTATTTACTCATCTTGAGACCACTGTGAAAGAAAACCTAAGTCCTGGGAGGCTGGGATCCTGACAGTGCTTTCACAAAAAAACCCCACTGGCCCCATACTTCCCCCCATTTTTCCCTTGGCAGCAGCAGCAGAATAAACGTCTGTGTTACTGGGGAAGAGGATCCTGTGTTTACCTGGTGCCTGCTGTACCCACTGCCTCAAAACAGCTTTGCATCTATGCATCTATGACAGTCAGCATTGCTGGAAACAGCTTAAATGTCAACATTTTCCTAATAATGAATCCTTGTAATTTTAGGCTCCAGAAATAGTGGGAAAGTTGATTCCTGTGGCACTAGCACAGATGTTTTACTAGTAGTTGGTTTTGGGGTTTTGGGTTCTTTTTTGTTGGTGGTGGTTTGTTTTTTTTTTTTTTAATTATTTTTTTAAAAAAGGAGCTTTTATGAGCTGTGATTTTAATTTATTTTCTTTCTTTGTGTATTTTACATGTCTAAGTGACAGTTCAGAGCTCCTGTAGTGTGACCACTTAACTTACCCCATACGGATATGTTCTGGTTCATATTTCATAATTCATCGTGTTGATACCATGGTGATATGTACAGCATTTTCCTGAGATCTAACAAAACATCTCATCCAAACTCCATTGACAGTTACATGAGTATATCCACAAACTTCTTTTCTACAAATAGTATCCTATAAATACGCTGCATTTCGAAATATAGGAAGGAGTAACAAAATTTTATGGTTCCTTATGTCTTTGATGTATTTTTATTAATTGGTAATGAGTAATATGAAGATGATATCTGAAATTGGGATTAGTACATTTTTTGAATCGTGTATCAATCAACAGAACGTTCCTTATTACTAAAGCATGCCAAGTTAGCTCACTTCGTTAACTTAAAAGAAGTTTTTATTCAGAAAAATATAAAAAAATGCACATTCTGACTTGTTTTTTCCCCGGTAAAACTGCTGCCATACTTCACATACCTGATTTCAGGTTTAACATTTCAGTAGTTTTCAGTGGAAAAAAATACGGTTAAAATCTTTCAGCCAAGAAGGGGAGTCAGCTGTGCGATTCATGCTGCCTCTGCGACAACTCTTAGTATGTGCTGTTGCTGGGCTGTTAGTGAGACTCTGCAAACGGGAGAACAGGAGATGGTCTCTGTACTGCAGAACAATGGCTTTTTAAAAATGTGGGCTGTTGTCACAAGGGAGTGACCAACAGTGCTTTTTACAAGGCTACTTGACTTTTGCATATCCGTTGCTGGATGCCATAATCTGAAATCACAGCATTGTTCAGCAGCCTAATCCTCTTTGTTCTCCTCTAATTTTGCAAGCCCTCAGGCTTTCTCTGATTCCTAAAGTAAAGTGCTCACACTTGAAACACATCTTTGTTTGCCTAGTTCTTTTTTCTTTTTTTTAATATGAAACGCTTTTCTCTGGCTCAGTTGAATTTTGTGTCACAGCTATTTAAATAAAAATAGGAGCAGAGAGAAAAACAAATGCAAAATAAAACTATGAAAAAAGCTCTCCTCTGTGAAATACAGTGTTTTTAGCACAGATCAGTATATTTTCTATAACAGTGGAAATCAAGTTGGGGAAATGTTAATCGGACATGCAATAAAAGCTAGAATTCAGACTTAAGCTACAGAGGATGGAATAAATGAAATTTCAGTGTCTTCCTATCCTAGTGTTTTATTCTGTTTATTCTAAAGACAAAGCCATTTGCAACAGTCTCAGGAAAGGTTTTATCAGAAATGGTTTGGTGAGGTCTTTAGTGGCTGAAATGGTGGATGTATGTATTTTCATTTAGGTTTTGTAGAAAATACAGTACTTTGACATTCTTTCAAAGCCACCCATCCTAGCATTTTGTTTTATATAAAAGATGCCATGATACTCAAAGTATTCTGTAGCTTCTTCATGTTTTTGGATGCATGTTAAAAGTGTACTGTAGATACTTTGATCCCTTTGCAGTCCCTGTATCTATGAATCAAGTAATGAATGTGTCTGTGATCAATATTGCCCACACAGTTAAAATAAAATTCATAGGTTCAGTGCAAGAGATAGGTGTTTCCCAGTTTCTGAAGACTTTAGCTGTAGATTAAATGCTGATTCTACAAACTGTGATAATGCATGGAATATAGTAGTAACAATATGATTTCCCTTCTAGTGTTGTATAGGTACACTTGTGACTTATGTGGTCATATTTATGTTCCTCTTAAGTCAGGGCAAATGTGAATGCGAACCCCTAAGAAGGTCACTAACAATTTTCAAATATGATATTTGCAGACGTACTAGACGACAAGATATCCGAAATGGAGACCCGCTTACCCACTGCTCTGACCTGCAGCATCATGGTGAGTTATGGGTATGACTGAAATACAACTAATTTGTATGTAACATACAGACTGTGCCTGAGAAGAGTAGGAAACACTTGAATGATTTGTTGGTGAAATTGTCTTGAACATCTGGGAAAGATGAATATAATACATCATTATCCCAATTTAGATTGCTTACAATGGCCTGGATGAGACACTAAAGACTGTTGTTTTTTGGTTTTTTTTTTTTATCCTCAAGTTAACAGTTTTAAACATTTCAGTTTTTCTTCTTCAAATACCTGATAATACCATACTATGAGGCTAGGCATATTACGTCAGATAAGTCATATCTGTTTCAGAACAGCAAGAAGCATGTGCATGTTTCTTCATACACTTTACATAGGATGATAACCAAACTCATAATTAACTACCTTGGGTAAATGTGGAATGGTCTTTGTTGTAGGTGCCAAACTAGCAGCCCTTAAGGTCAGGACGTCCCTTGGAGTAGGTCTGTCCTGTGTGCTTTCTGCGTGGGTTTTCTTTGACACCTTTTGGTTTTGGTTTTTTGTTGGTTGTTTTATGTTCACAACTTATTGACCAGATCTTACTTTCTTGAATTGTTTGTCGGGTAAAACTGCTCAGTCACTAACTTGTTGCCAAGCTTCTCAGGAGATCTTCGCTCAGAAAATTAAAAATATCTCTTTTGCCGTAAGTGAAGACAACACTTAGGCTATACTTCCCTCTGCTGGAAAAAAGGATTGTTCATGTTTGTGGTACATCTATAATAACAGTTAAACCACTGGACGGATTTCTGTGAGAAATAAAGAAGGAGGTAGCTGAAAATAGAGATACCTCAAAACCCTCATGTCCTTCCAGTCCTTGTAAGAGCAAGAATGATAAATAGTCCAAAGTTGTACTTTTGTGTCAGCTATAATTCATCACCACTACATTTCAGTGATAGTTTTCTCTATCTTTTTCATTATTTGAAACTTGCAGTGAACATACTGTAGCTTTTGTTTTTACTTCTTGATTGTCAGACTATGGCCAAGCTACTCAGAGGGAGAAAAGGGTTTGGAAAAGTGCATGACTGGACTGTGGTCAATATGCAGTTGTCACATTTTGAGAATTCATGAATGCACAACTAGTTGAGATTTGAACTAGTCCATGGGGACTAGTAGGAAGTTCACAAATTTCCAGATGCATGATATCCAGTAATGCTTATCCAGTGCAGATGAGACCATCCATATATTGGGGTTGAGATGACATTTTCAGTTCCTCAATAGGAAAATTTCAGCAGTCACTGAATGTGCATTTTATTACCAGCAGAAGCATGTCCCAGCTTTACCTTTTTACTATCTGAGCATTTTACTTAGAAGAAAAATTATGATCTGGGCTACAACATGTCCAGTTCTTTCAAGGTTCTCTTGCCTTTGCTAGATGTGCTTTATACAATTGTAGATCTGTTCTTTATCTTCATAGACAAGAAAAGAATTTTAAAACACTTTGGTTTTTATATCTTCCCATATTCAGTAAACATTTTTGTCTGGATAGATATTTTCTGTAGAAAGAGAAGAGTGTAATCCAGCGCAGTTTTTTCATGAAAACAATCATGAGAACTCAAGGCCAGGAAAACGCTCTTATGCAGTACATCTGATTACAAAAAGCTTGCGTACAGTTTTTTCAAAATGAGCAGAGCAAGTATGAGACAAGATATCACTGAAAATTTCACTTAATGGTGAAATGAAGACAGAGTGATTAGGAGAATCAGTAACTTAAAAAAAAATCCGACAATGCAGTTCTAGGTCCTAGACTTTAAGGATGCACTGTTAAAATACTTGAGTACTGAATTTCACTTGACTGAAATTTTTTCTTAATTAATTGAGTTAATCTATAAAATTATCTTATATTTACTTGTCATTTACACAAGATCGTGCATTGTAGAAACAGCTGCATGGCCCATGAACCTCCTATGCCAACTTATGCTGAGTTTTTTCCCTGTTTGTGACTAGTAGTTTCCTGGACAACAGATAAAGAATTGGGTTAGTCTATAGCCAAAAAGAAGTTCCAGCAATTATTTAGTACTTGTACACCCATTCCTCTGCAGTAACTGGCAGCTGATTCTCCATGTGAACCAACAGAAACAAGAAAAAATAACAGTCTCTTAGTGTATATCTCACTTTTAAAGGCATTGCAAGAAACTTGCTTTGATATCAGTCTGAAGCAGTAATGTTTTCAATAAGGTTTAGGTAGCTCTTTCAGTTGCTTTTTATGCAAATGTAGAAGTAGTAGTATAAAATGACTACGCCGAAACATTAGAGGGAGCTAAGGTTCCTTAGCTGTACAGGTGTTGGGTCAGATAGTAATGCTTAAATCTAAATTCATAGTCACCTTTGTGTCAGCTAGAGAACTCTATTTTTTTAAGTACGAAATACTAGTGCTATCAAGAAATTAATCAAGTTCTATTCTGAAGAATTTGTAAGGGAAGAGGCACCTTTTTTAGGTGATTTATCCCAGGACAAATTCAAAGAATCACTGAATTTAACTGTATAGTGCAATTCATTCATCTGCAAAGCAATCTTTATGTAAGTACTTTGCCTTTCATACTTCTTTGGTTATGTCAGAAATTATATATTTAAAGGATATGTATCAGGGTAGTAAATTGATACTGCTGTTGCATTCATTTTGGGAATTACAGCTCTCAGACAGGATTTTGGGTTGAATTTCATAACCAACTTTGTAACTTCTATACGTTTCTAATTCTTCCAGCTGCTCTTCTGAACTTCCCAGACACTCATTCTTCCTCCTGGTCTCTTCAGTTTCTCCCTCGGTCTCAGAGCTGCACTCTGATCCTGTGATTATTCCATCACTCTGCTTACTTTCTTGCACTCCACATGCTCAATATTACATGAACTTTATAGACATTTCTGGACCTGCTTTCTGCTCCCTTAAATCACAGAAATGGAATTCGAAGGATCTTTTAGATCCTTCCTCTCTCATGCATGACTGTCACCCATACTATATTTTCTGAGGAAATTTAAAGGAGGTTTCTGCCAATTTCCCTGGTTATCTCTAACACACCGGAATGCCATGGGCCAGATAAAAAAACCCACTCAGATCCACCTATCTTCCATGAAAACTTGGGATTAGCTTCTTAGATAGAAAGAATGCTTAGAAACTAAAAAGGTCAGCAGGATGGAGCACCTCTCCTACAAAGACAGAATTGTGGTTATTCTGCCTGGAGAAGAGACCACTCCAGGGTGACCTTAATGCAGCCTTTTAGGACTTAAAAAAGGCTTATAAGAAAGATGGAGACAAACTTTTTAGCAGGGCCTGTTGCGACAGGACAAGGTGTAACAGCTTTAAACTAAAAGAGGATAGATTCAGGCTAGATATAAGGAATTCCTCCATTGCTCACCATCTTCCTGGCCCAAAGCTGCACTGACATTCTTCATAGGGATGTGGTTTCTGAGAGATGTCATAAAAGTTGTTTCACTTAGTTGTTTATATAGCACCCCACTTACTTGCTGGAAAGGTTCACGATCCAACAGAGGAAAGCAAGTTAACCCATTGCTTATTTGTTTTGTGTTAATAGGCTGTTCAATGTTTCCTTACTGAGAACTGGGCAAGCACAAGTTCCTATTCTGTCCCCTGTCCCTTCTCCCCTCCTCTCTCAGGGCTGCAAGTCATTATGGAAAGACATATGATTGCTGTGTCAACATACACCAGGAGCTCAATTTTATTTTTACCTTTGGCTCAGCCATCTAGCAAACAGCCTGTGTTTGCTAAACAACGCGGCCAATACGATAAAGGCATAGTGAAAGCAAACAAATCTTGACAAAGGATTTCTCTGAAAGGATTTTACTTAGACATCATTTTCGTGTTAAAACATATCAAAAGAAGTTATTTAAAGATTTCCAGTGCTAAAAATCAAGTGGAAAATGGAAAGAATGAGAAATAATGGCAGAGAGACAGGAAACCCCATGAGATCAACACAGTGTTAAATAGCTTACCAACCCCTTCCTCCCCATCTACTCTCCGGGATTATTGTACCGTTGCCACTTGAGTCCATAACAGCATTTTAAAGAGCTAAGGTGGAGAGTTGAAATATGATGCCTTACAGCCTCTGCGGTATTGGAGAAGAATCAAATGCCATATAAGTCCTATAGCTATGTGATATTTCCAGCAAGTTGATGAATATCTCTAAACATTGTTGTTACAAAAGGAAGTAATTTATTTAACTTTCTTTTTCCCCTCCCATAATGTCTGGTTTATTAACCTCATTACATTTCCATAAATTATATCAGTATGGGAGGAAATGATTAATTGAAGATTGTTTCCTTAAAAACATTATTCCTGGTCATTAACAGCTTCAGCAAACTGCAGTGCCATATAATCTAAACACATTATACTACTTTTAAATAGCCTCATGTTTTATTACTTTGCTCTAAAGTATTATGATCATAGAGCCCAGGAGGCATCATTATAGACATTCTGCAACTACACCCTGAGTTTCCTCACTGCATACAGTTGGCTGTTAAAAATTCTTGTCATGTCTTAGATGTTTTCCTTGATGAATAATAATGAGGTTTACCCAAAATTTCACGATGAAATTCATTAACTTTACATATTGAGATGTTAACAGCTGTTAGGATTTAAAATACAAAAAATAATTTTAAAAAAACTACCAGGGATCTTTACGAAGATAGAGATATTGATGGTGATTTTCCAAATGGCCTACTGATTTGGGAAAAATTTTCTTTTAAAGTTTTTATCTTTTAACACTTTAAGGAAGACCAATTTCTAAACAAATACATTCACTTTGCAATTAAGATTTTTCTTTCTTGGTAATTTTGAGGTTTTTTTTCTTTTTTTTTCTTTGCTTTACAGATAACCCAAGTGGTCAGACCCTGGAGGAAAAGATTATCTATGGAGTAGAGAATAGCAGCACTTTCCTTGAGTGCAGTGCAAAATCTCAGCGTGCCGTAGTCTACTGGCAGTTCCAGAAGCAGAATGATGACCGTAAAGAAGAGGTACAGTAGAAAAAATAAAGAAATGCAACTAGTCTTCTCTATGAAGATATACTTGAACCTGAGTCCTTCCCAGAATAATGTCCATCTGTATTTTAGTTTAGCAGAATTTTTCTGGAATCTTATAATTTCTGTTGTTCTTCACCATATTCTTATCACCATAAAATCCCATAAGCTCTCTAATAGGTTTTACAGATGGTTACATCAGAAAACATTCATAACCTCTCCCTGGTCAGACCCTCTGCAAAACATGCTGTCAAGCTAGGCCACTTAGGTACATTAGCAGCATTAGACACCTTTGCTGTTTGCTTCATTTGCATAAATTGTAAATTGTTTAGAATTTATTCTTGATGGAGAGAGCAAAACAGGTTTGTGTTCTGTCCACAGCAACATGTGCATTCAAAGAAGGAAACTATATATTCCTAGATATTAATTAATTCAGAAAAATATAGCATTTTGAATAGCTGCTTTTTGAATATTAAAATTTTGAGATTTAATGCTTATTGTTTCTTTGTAAATTTTCCACTTACCCAGAAGACACTTCTATGTATAAGCGCTGTTATAGTGAGGAACTACAGGAAGACAGAGCACCTTTCCCACATATATATATTTAGGCTTGACTAAAAGATTGTGGTAAATGTGACCTCAGTAATATAGCCAAATGCATCCATGTTGACTCTGCTGATTATAGGTTTGTATTTTCTGTAATCTTACCAGCAATTCCATCTGACAAGAGTGGCTACAAATCAGTAGGGACTAAGGAATAAATTCTTAATCCTCCAATCTCTCTTTGCAGCACCTCAGTATCTTTTCCAGAGTATTTGAGCCTTCCGTAACTACTGATGACTGGCCAAGGGTTTTCCATTCATGTGGGTTTCTTGACCAAGTTTTACCAGCTGAAAGGAGCAGTACTAAGGAACTAGTGTGGTTAGAGGACAGTTTTGCATGTATATGAAAGATAACTATTGAAATTAACACTTTTTTCCAATGCAGATAAAAGTGGACGATCGAATGATCCGGACAGAACAGGGCCTGTTGCTACGAAGTCTTCAACGGAGAGACTCTGGCATTTATTTCTGTCATGCTGTGGAGCACGGCTTCATGCAAAGTTTGCTCAAGGTCACCCTGGAAGTAATTGATACTGATCACCTGGAAGAGTTGCTCCATAAAGAAGAAGATGGTGATACCTCCAAGACCAAGGACGCTACCAATAGCATGACCCCCAGTCAGAAGATCTGGTATAGAGACTTCATGCAGTTAATTAATCACCCCAATCTCAACACAATGGATGAGTTCTGTGAGCAGGTTTGGAAAAGAGACCGCAAACAACGCCGGCAAAGGCCTGCCAATGCTCAGGTGAATACGAATAAGTGGAAGCACCTACAAGAGAATAAAAAAGGTAGGAACAGGAGGACCCATGAATTTGAAAGGGCACCACGGAGTGTCTGAGCTACATTACCTCTAGGAACCTCATCCAAGTAGAAACTTGTATAGACAGATAACTGGAAAAAAATTGCAATATTCATGAACTTTTTCATGGCATTATGTGGATGTTTACAAGAGTGGAAAGTTCAAACAATTTCCACCAGGTTTAAATAAAATCCATTTCTAACTTTCCTAATAAGTCGTTCCTCTCTGCTCTGATTCTAAGACCAGAAAGACCAGAGTTTCAAGGATGATAACTCAGCGGGACCTAGCTTACTG